TCACTCAACGGATTTCACTTGCTGGTAGCGGCTCTCGGTTCGCGCCGCATTTCGGTAGGCTCCCAAAGTTCCTGCGGGCTTGCTCGTGTTCGGCGCGTGATAGCAGCCGCGCGCTTTCATGTGTCGTGCGCGTGATCGCCGGTCGTTCTCAGGAGTGCGTATATTCTTCGCGCGCCTGAGCTTTTGTGATAGTTATCCGCCACACTTATGTTTCAATATGGGTGCCTTACTTTTTTTTTATTGTTTCCCTATGGGGTTACAATTCTTGCTCCATATAAATATCTTTCTTTACGCTCTTATATTTAACGCTTTGTACACACATACACACACGCTTCCTATCCCTCTTTTCGCTCTTGTCCTTCAACCTGTATACTTTACTTATCCTATCCTACTTACATCCTAACTCCGCGTACTTAACTTAATCTAGCTTAGCCTATTTTGGACTTCCGTTTCCGCTGTTCTTTTTCCATTCTCTCTCTCTCTCTCTCTCCCCTCCCTCCCTCCCCCTCTCTCCCTCTCTCTCCCTCTCTCTCCCTCCCTCTCCTTCTCTCTCCCTTTCTCCCTCTCTCTCTCTCCCTCTCTTTTTCTCCTTTCCTCTATCTCCTTCATCCATTCCTCTCCCTCCCCTTCTCCTCCTAGTATCCTCCCCTTTGCCTCCTGCCAACTAGTCCCCTCTTTTTTCTCCCTTCTCACACACCTTTCCCATACATGTCCCTCCGTCCCTCTGTATGGTATATCCTGAATATCTAAACTCTTTTACTTCCTCTATCTTTTTTCCTTTCCATCTCCAATCTACCATTTTACTCTTACCCCCTTCCTTCTTAAACCTTATTACCTTTGTCTTTTCCGCATTTAATTCTAGTCCTTTCCTTGTTAAATACCTATCCACCCTACTCAACATCGCTCTCATGTCCTGCACCTCTTCCGCCATCAACACTACATCATCCGCATATGCTAGCGTAAATACTTTCCCTTCCCCCAATCTCACTCCCTCCCAACAACCTCTTGCCATCTCTTTTTCCAACTCCGCCATCAAAATGTTAAACAGCGTTGGACTCAGTGGACATCCCTGTCTCACTTCTTTCGCCGTCTAGAACTCCTCTCCTATCCGCCCTCCTACTCTTACCCTGCTCCTTGTCTCCCTCATTGTCTCCTCCACTCTCACCACCAGGCCCTCTCTCACTCCCCCCTTTCTCTCGTCGCCTTCATCAAAATCTCCCTGTCCACCGAGTCAAACGCTGCTTTCAAGTCCACAAATACCGCTGTCAATTTCCCACCTTTCCTTCCCAATTGTCTATTCACTAAGTAGTTCAACGCATACACCTGATCTAATGTTCCTCTCCCTCTCCTAAACCCCGCTTGACTCCCCGATAGTAGCACCCTCCCTTCCATCTCTTGTCTCAACCTTTCCCCTAATGCCGCCGTATATATCTTATACATCGACGGCATCAGGGTCACTCCTCTATAGTCTCTGTAAGATCCTGAGGCAAGGCCTACCATCTAGGGGCCATACGAGTTAGGTGTATGGTGATAACTCTAATTTCCTTTATTACCGATAAGACGAAATCCCTTAAGAGGGGAATATAGAAAGGAGAGATATAAGAGAGCGAGCGAAGAGAAGAAGAGTAGAGTATAGTGGAAGGACAGTAAGAAGACAGTGAGAATTGTGAAGGCGAGCGTGCCAGATAAAACAGGAACAAAGGCGACTAATATTTAGTTCTTGGCTTATAGGCCATTCTTTCTTTGTTACGGTAGATATTAATGGTTGCGATTTAAAACGAGCGTGCTGATATCGTAGTCAGAAACGAATAAACGGAAAGGGCTCCGACCTGATATCGGAGCACCGGCCACGTGGTCATTTATACGAATCCTTTCGATTCTCAAATATAACGGTCAATTAATATTTATTTGACTCTTTCGGTTATTTTGCCCTTCTTAAAAAATTCCTAAATCAGGACCTTACATCTCTAACTTCCTCGCCCCCTCCTTTCTTTACTATGGGCACTATTAATCCCTCTTTCCATTCCTCTGGCCATCCCTCTCCCCTCCATATCCTCCTGCATACCTCCCATGTCCATTTTTCCATTTCCTCCCTTCCATTCTTCCACACTTCATTCGGTATCCCGTCCTTCTCAATCGCCTTCCTGTCCTTCAGCCCTGTTATCACCCTCTTCACTTCCTCCCATGGGTGCCTTACTTACTGCTTAAGTTTTTTTATGTGCCGGGGCCTTTACATTTATATTTGTTTTTATAAAGTATTAAGTAAGTATCATATATATAAACAAAGACTTTCAATCCCCTTTCCTCTTTGGCTTCAACTTCGTGGCAATACGCTTCGTCCAGATATTTTCTACATCCATGAGACAATGCGCAGTCCAGGGGTCGATCATGTAATTTTACGTGAAACTTTTCACTTTTTATTTTTCACTTTTCACTTTTCATTTTTTACTCATCCAGATTTTACGTGAAACTTTCCATGTATACCGATTATGTATGTAACTTGAATGCACGGAAAGTGAAATCATTGAACATATATAGTTTCTAGGCATAGCTAAGGAGAATTATTATTATTAGTACAGCATTGCATACACGACAAACCTTTCTTTTGTCAATGCAGTACTAACAAGAATGTACCACACTTATTCTAATTCTGAAGTATATTTATTAATTCTAGATTTTCGCCTTTCCGCCACCAAGTTTCATGGCGAAAAAGTTCACGTGAAAAGTTTCACATTTCTGCGGCTGAGAGAATTATATGATCGAGCGAAATCATAAAGTTCACGTGAAACTTTTCACTTTTCACGTTTCCGCCCTAAGAGAAAAATACATGATCGATTCCCAGTAGTATATGGTCTAATGGCTTTTGCACACAGAACGCGGAAACGCTTGCCGCGTGGCAAAAGGCGACGCGGTAGCTAATCAACTTACAACTCTTCCATTAAAGCGAAGAATTGATTGGTTACCGCGCCTTTTGCCGCGCGGCAAGCATTTTCGCGTCCTGTGTGCAGAAACCATAAGGCCCGTTCTACAATAAATCGTATGTCGTTAGTCGTTAGCAAATTGACCAACAATAATCGATTATTTCGAGAATATTCGACTGTGATTAATCAATTTGCTTACGACTAACGACATACGACTTATTGTTGAACGGCCTAAAATTCGCGCTTTTCTGATATTCTAGGCCTCTAGCTATTGGCTTAGTTTACACGGATATACTTTTGTGGGAGTTGACGTTACTAGTTACTAGGAAATGATTGCACTCACGGAATACATTAATGCTAATGTTTTATTCGTAACTTTTACAATACCCTAATATTAAGGTTACATATAGGAAGATTAAGTCATATTATTGATACTATATATACCAATGAGCAACCCATGATACATTGCAAAAGGCCACGAAAGCTAATAACAATCTATTTTATTTAGCATCTCTTTTTAATAGCGACTGCGCACACATCGATTTTTTGCATTGCATTATGGGTAATCGGAGCTCATGACTTAACCTTCTTATATAAGGTGAGTCTTTTTAATCTTAACAGGAAAATATCTCAAAAGTTTTCCCCCTCAGAACCAAATAACTTTTCTCTAAAAAGTTTCCTTCTAAAACTTACTTTAGAAGGAAACTTTTTAGAGAAAAGTTATTTGGTTCTGAGGGGGAAAAGAGATAGGAATATTAGTTAGACCTTGGGTGGCATTGTTAAGGTCATATCAAGGTCACATTGAATTTTTTAAATTGAAACCTTTATTTTTTATTGCATATTCTTATAGCCCTTGTCGAGACCTTTTTAAAACTCTAAAAGGTCTTGACAAGGGCTATAAGAATATGCAATAAGAAATAGAGGTTTCAATTTAAAAAATTCAATGTGACCTTGATATGACCTGAACAATGCCACCCAAGGTCTAACTAATATTCCTATTTATTTTCCCCCTCAGAACTAAACAACTTTTGTCTAAAAAGTTTCCTTCTAAAACTTACAGGTTTTGAGATATTTGATTGTTAAGATTAAAAAGACTCACCCTGTATATAACCTTATGTCAGCATATCGTCATCTTTGTTATTTACCAAAAGCTAAACAAGGATGACGACATATTGGCAGAACCATAGACATAGTATATCTAGACCGAGTGTTGAGGAGTGGGGGCCAAGGTGCACGTAGAAAAGGACATACTCTGTTCCGTGCCCCTTGCGTTCTCTCTCACTCGCATGTAGCATAGCGAAAGAGTACGCTACTTTTACTTAAGAGTACGTTACTTTTCTACGTGCATCTTTACCCCCACTCCTTAAATAAAGGCAAACGCTCGGTCTACATATACTATGTCTATGGACAGAACTGTCAGTGGTCTAGTATTTCCACCGAAGTATTAATTCGCATCTAGTGCGGCGTAGGACTAAATTTAAGGGCTTAAGCAAAATAACTGACTTGACAATGTTTTATGAGAAAAACGTAACGTAACAAAAGCATACTACGTTACGTTTTTCTCTGTGCGTTGACTGAAGTTTAAGGTTACGGACGAATCTAAATTTACGGTTAGTACTTAACGTCATTTGTGTGCGATAGAGTATGTTTCCACCGAACCGCAATTCGAACCCTCGATGGAAACATACTCATAGCCTTATAGCCTATCACACACAAATTGGCATAGCTGCATATGCATATGCAGCTATGCCAATTTGTGTGTGATAGGCTTAAGGCTTGACGCACACAAATTGGCATAGCGGCATATGCATAGCATAAAGCCCGTATCAGACTATGCATTAAGATTGAAATTTGACCAATCAGAACAAGAAAATTTTAGTTCATTTTATCTTGATTGGTCAAATTTCAATCTTTAATACATAGTCTGATACGGGCTTAAGACCGTCTGGACCAATGAGCATGCTATGTAAATCAATATGGCGATTTTATTTCGATGCTCATTGGTCCAGACGGTCTTATGCTATGCATATGCAGTTATGTCAATTTGTGTGTGATAGGCTTTAGTGTAAAAAGTGCAAACAAAGCGAACAGATCCCTTTCATTGATAGAAGATAGAAGTGTTTATACAAGCAGATACAAGCAACAAAATATCTAGATTTTTTTTCCATTGGAGTTACATATTATGTGTATTATTAGGAGTATATAAAGATTTGTTATCTTAGTAAATTAGTACAAATCATTATAAGAAAGAGACGTATATAAAGTTATACAACCACAGAAATGGAGGTTGGTGTTTATTAATTACTGTGTGTGAAAAATCAATGCTGTATAATTACTTTCTAATATGAATATAATATATTATATAGTTCCATATGTATAGTATACTTTAAATTCTTTCTTTCTAAAATTTTGCATATATTTTTAATAATAATATATAGATTAAATTTATCTATTGGATATAATATACTTCACAACCATTTATATTATATTTCATATTATATTGTTAATACCAATTGATAATGTAATAATGTAATAAAGAAAAATCTTGTAAGAATCATTAAAAAGGGGTATATTATAAGAAATATTAAAACATTTTGTATTTGATATGAAATTATTTTGTTATTTTATTATATATATGCATACATCAACATCATAAATTAAGCGGTATACTTGTAGATAGATGAATGTTCAGCTGGTGAAGATAGCGGAGCAGAGGAAGAGGAAGATGAAGTTTCAACGCATGATTCTAGGACTGACAGTAGCAGTAGTACTATGAGCGGCAATAGTACAACAACAGACAGTGAGGAAGACAGTGCAGATCATGCTACAAGCAGTAGTGAAAGTCATAATTCTGCAGAAGAGGATGAAGATGAGAATGAAAATGCAGAATATATGGTAAACATAGAGCCACCTGACGCTTTGGTAATAATTATCTTATTATATTTTTGTACTTAATAATTTATTAAAATAAATAAAGTTTATTATTATTAATTATACTTAACAAATTGATTTTTAGAGATGGGAAACTTGTATTGCTGCCAATACTAAAGTAAAATTACCACAGGATTTTTGTGAATATTTTAATATTTTTAAAGAAATGCTAGATTATCCACATTTTTGGAATGAATATCTTACTGAAAGTCAAAGAGAGACATTATGTAATCTTTTACCTATTTTCCCAAAAGATTGTAATATAGAGGCACAAATGGAAAAATCATTACAAATGTTATTTAACAGAGAAAACAATAGGTAAAGAATGTTAAACATTATTTTGCAAAATGAGGAATAATAAACAATTTCCTGAAACAATTTAATATTAGAAAATTTTGAATAATAAATTTGTTATAGATTTGGCGTAGCAGCACTGGATGCATTTCACAATCATCTTTCTGCTGGTCACTATCGTCCTGATATTAAAAGAATACGTAGTTTAGTTCGAAAAGCAAAGAAAAGAAGATTATTGTTTGAGGAACAGAAACGTTCATATGAATTAGCAAAACAACTACTTAAGTCACGAGAAAGTTTACTGTCAAATGCATATAAACAAGGTTTCAATCAACCAGCAAATCGAACAGTGTCTAAATTTCATTGGCGCAAACCAAAGCCGATAATGGGTAAGTGCTCATTCCATGTGCAAAATATAGTCAAATATTTTCCGGCTGTTTATATTTCTCCCACACTTCAGCCATTTGGCAGAGAAATATATAATAACTTCTGGAAGACAATACTAACGCGCAAATGAATGACAGTTGAAGAGAAGACCCAGCTACGTTATATGGAGGAGCTAAATGCAATTCGAGTGGAACTTGGGGCCAACACAAGATTGTCTGCTGATACAACATCCGAAAACGAAGAGAATTATCCATATTATCAAACATCTGGGGCCAAACAGAAAAGGAAGCGGCGTTCTACCACGAGTTTTCAAGGATTATTAGTTAAAGGCTTACAACTCAACCATGAGGACGAGACAATTCGACCTGTATTTTCTACTTTGCAGCGAATGGAATATGCTTCGAGCAGATCACTATTTGTACGTGAACAGACAGAAGAAACTTATCGTGCCATGTTAACTGCACATAAAAAACGACGAGCTTCTTGTGATGTATGTATAACTTCTCGGTTTTTTTATGCATGTGTTTATATGTATATGTGTTTATATGTGTTACAATAATGTATTTAAATAAAAATTGATTATATATAGGTTCATCCAGAATTGAATACTCAAGGAATCGCTCTTGCCGATCTCACACAAAGATCGCAAATTGGTCAAAAGCATAAGTTTTCAGTTGGTAATTTCATGAAAATTGCATCTGCCAAGAAGAAAATCAAATTGGAACAACATTCGTTATGTCCTTCCGCATTAAAATTTACGAATTCCAATTCTGTGAAACTTGAAAGTGACAATAGTGACTATTCTCACACAACAGATGATAATAGACAACCTAATGTCTCAGATATGGATTATAATAAAATAACAACACCTATAAAATCAGAGCCAGTTGATACATATGAAACACATCAAATAATTAAGAAGAAAATGTAATTATGGTTGACCATTTATGAATTTAGATAAATACATAAAACTGTGATATTTTACTTATTTTCTTCTCATATTTTTAATTTACAGAAGTCCAATGTTTCCAAAAAATAACAAATCAGTGATAATCAATGCACTAGAGATAAAAAAAGAAGTTGAAGATATGGAATATGATGAAATTAAAACGGAATTAAGTTCGGGCGTGAATGAAGATATACTAGCTGAAACTGAAGAGGAAGAGGAAAATGAATCTAAGAAAGAGCTTGATTTAGATAGTATTGATATGATACAATTACCAATCCAACTGGATGATGGAATTGATATACTCAATGATGTCAAGTGAGTCTATTTCTATATATATTAATATTATATAATTGCAATTAATTGAAATTATAATCATAAATATTTAAATTGACGAATTGACATCAGATGCGAAAATGAGACCGTTATTTCAATACCGGAAAAAGAAGTGATTATACCATCAAGCGAAAATACTATAGATAACAATGGAGCAGAATTAATGCAAGAAACGCACGCATGTTTCTTTTCTTTGTTGCGAGATGCCTTCATATCTAAGGGTGAATATCGTATGAGCGCAGCAGAGATGAAAGAGGCAGTAATGCAGTGGCAAGGCAATCCTATTTCACCCTTGAATGACTGGTAATATCGAAGAAAAATCTGCTATACTGTGAACAATTCAAGAAAGCCACCGTTAACAAATTATATGACTAGTATTATATATTGGTAGGTATTCCTTGGTATCTTCATGGCCCATGTTAGTACCATTAGCTCTAGGATTTCTTGCTGGCGAATTAACATATTCTCAAGATTTGGATCAACGACAAGAACGAGACCAGGAACTCGTACCCTATCTAGAAAATAAAGGTCGAGGTGTATATGCTTGGATTGGTGCAGGACGAGACTCTGATACTCGATTGCAAGATTTGTGTACAAAATTTCTTATGTATAAGTACGTATCGTAATAAACATTAACTTTTTAATTCTTCATTGCTACATTATAAAATAGAATTGTTTAATTAGGCATTTTCATAAATAAGCATTTTACTTGAATTTCTTTCTTGTTTAATCAGTTTATGAGCCTCTCTAATATTATTCAATTATTCATTTGCTGTATGACAAGTCATAAGTTAGATATAGTTCTGTTATAAAGAGAAGTTTTATATTCAACAAATAATTTTACTTATATAGAGATGTATTGACATCACCATATACTTCAGCTGCTAGTGCTGTAACAGCTACAAAACCACAGCAGACTCAGCTTACTTCTTTAAGCAATAGCATGAATAATAACGCGATCACAAGCGGAAGCTCACAGAGTGGTAGAAGCGGAAGTCCTGTATTGGAATCTACCAGTATAGATGCCGGAGCCATTGCAACTGACTCGGAACCACCTCGCCCATTATTTCCTACAGAATGGAAAGTTCGCCCGTCCACGGCGGAAGAACGAGAAGAATTTCGAAGACAAGAACGTATGCGATATGCTGCACCTCACAAGGCGTTTACTTATCGTATGCACGGTTATGCGTCCGTAGTCGGTCCGGTGAAAGGAATTTATCAACATAACATCGGTATGAATTACGCTTATGTAAAGTGCAATGGATACTTGTTTGATATTTTATAAAAATATTTTTATTGATATTGATCTTGTATATATTTATTTAAATTATATATATATATATATATATAGATATATATATAATATTAAAAATTAGATATATACGGAGAGACTACGTCATAACGGAAAACTTGGCTAAATTGAAATCAAATTTTAAATTCACTGGAGAGAGATATGTGGTAAGCGCGTGATGCCAGGTACGCCCTGTATGTGACGGCACGCATCGATCCACTGATATATAGATTGAATATATGATTCTTCGCGTTTAAGTTCTCCGCGTCCTAAATTCCACGCTTCAGGGCTTTTCTTCCGCGGCGGCGCTTATCTTACGCGCCATCGAAGTACCTCTTATAATTTTCACATGACGTTAAAGCCGCCGCTAACGGTAAGTCGCATTTAGCGTCCGGAAGTTCCTGATCTTAAGCGAGGGATTACAAGATACTTAGCTCTCCGCTGCACGGCATTACCGTTGCACAGCGACGGCAGATTGTACCTGAAATTCTTCTCCAACTTTGATTCTAACCAACGTGGTTACCACGGATTCTCGCGCCTTATTTTTCAACGCGGCGAGGATAAACGCGCGCCTTATCCTCCCTTAATGCTACTTATTCAGTTATTATATAAATTATATATATAAAATTAATTAAATTTTATTATTATGTTAATCAAGCTTCAGGACAATCTAAAGCGCGAGAACATACATTGCTGGTACAAGATCGTCCAAACTTCGTAACAATTTTAGCATTAGTTAGGGATGCTACCGCTCGACTTCCTAATGGTGAAGGAACTCGAGCTGATATTTGTCAGTTACTGAAGGATTCGCAATACCTCAAAGTACAGGACAATGATGAAAAAGAAGGATATCTCCATTCTGTGGTGTCAGGAGCCCTCGATAGACTACATTATGAAACAGATCCTTGTGTTAGATATTATCCTCGTCGAAAAGAATGGCTTTATCTTCATCGAGGACGGTCCGAATCTGAATTTGGTTTGTTCTTATTTTATTAATTGTTTATCGTAATTAGAATGTGTTTTTGATGTATTTATACATTCAATTCGTTTGTGAGTGTATAAAAATCTCTTTTTATTTTTTTAGAAATGGTCCATCAGCAATTGCAAGGTATTGCAAAGAATAAAAAAAACGTTGGGAATACGTCACGAAACAAAGCGCTACAACCGATTCTCAAATCAACCAATATGAATAAGGAACAATCTCCAAATACTAAAGAAATTCTCAAAAAAGAAAGGCGAACAACAACTATACCTGCGCAATCTATTGTATCTAAGTAAGTATCTGACAATATATATATATATATATATATATATATGTATATATATGTATAGACACACACTATTTGATAGCAGTTTACGGGCATATGCACACCCAAAAAACGATTTTTGACTAATTTTTTTACATGCGGAAATAGCGCTATGTAATTCATGGGCCCGAATTATGATTCACCCTGTATGTATATATTACACACACCTACATTCATCCATACACACCTCCCTCCCCCCACACAATATTTATATATATATATATATATATATATGGTATGTGTAATATATACATACAGAGTGAATCATAATTCGGGCCCATGAATTACATAGCGCTATTTCTGCATGTAAAAAAATTAGTCAAAAATCGTTTTTTGGATGGGCATATGCCTGTAAACTGCTTATCGGATAGTGTGCGTCTGCGTGATTATATTCAATTCGGCGCACGGTTGCGGACGTATGCCTGTCTAAAGAAGAGAGCATTGATAAAATAACATTTATTTAATAATTCCTCTTTTATTAAACATCATAGAAAAAAATTAATTTAACACTTTTGGACTCTTTTTTTTTTCATTAAGAAATAACGCTACATAATTCGTGTAAGCGAATATGATACACCTTGTGTATATATATATATATATATATATAATTTTATAGGAAAGAGCAGCGTAAAACTGAAGGGAAAGCTGTTAATGAACATCCTAGTTCTACTGAACATTCCGTTAATACTAACGTAGAAGTGGCAGTTAGCGCAATAACAACATCAGTCATTTCTAGTACTGAAACTGCCGTCTCGGGAGATGCATCACTTATAACTTCTTCTATTACGTCAACAAATATAACAAATACAGACCGTGATTATGTCGCGATGGAAACGAAACCGCAACTTACTCCAATAACTATGGTGAAAAAGACATCCACTATTGGAGGGAAACCGGTTGCTATAGTTAAAACGAATGCCACACAAAGTCTCCTACAATCAAATCAACATAATTTTCCACATCACCAAATTCAAGTATCTACATCCGCTGGTCTGCAAACTATTCGTTTGGCCGGACATTCTGTGTTGCAATCTGCGCAACAACCTATTTCTGCTAGTAGTAGTTCTAATGTAACGAACGGAACTACAACGAATTTGACGACAATATTGCCATGTACAAAAATGCAAAATCAGCAACAGCAACCAACTATAGTAACGAATCAAGCAGGGAAAAGTATTTTACAAACTACTAATATGAAGCAACAACAATCGCAACAACAACCACATGTCTTACCAGGCAAAACTCTCTTAGCATCACAGATTAAATTAGTTAGTTCAAGTCAAATTAAATCATTACTCACAGGCCATAGTCTTCAGGGTCAGACTATATTTATCAAACAATCCTCATCATCAAATAATCAATCACAACAACAATTACAACAACAGCAACAACAACTAAAGGTATCTTTAAAATAAGTTACGCTATCATGTTAATTGATTTTATTTTAATTTTATTTTAATATCAGCAACAACAGCAGCAACTTCAACAACAGCGTGCTGTATCTAGTCAACAGCAACCTATACAGCAGACTCCGGGAATGCAACGTATAATTGCGCAAATCGGAGGAAAACCGATTGCCGTGCAAATACAACAATCACCCCATCAACAACAGCAGCAACAGAAAATACTGGCGAAAGTTTTAACAAACAGCAGTGGAGGACAGATTATTTCCGTCGAAAGTTTGCTCACTCAGAAAGGATTGAAATTGGCTACTACTGGTCATGCAAATCAACTTAATAGACAGGGCAAACAAGTTATACAAGCTCAATACCAGGTAAACGCATTTTACATACTACACACATACGCGCGCGCTCTTTTATCTAAGACATTTTTCTATAAAACACATCTTAGAGTTAATTTACAGTTGTTAATTTTTAATGGCTTATCTTCTTTGTGTGCATGTGCGTGCACATGCATGCATATGTATAAATATCTTTACAGAAGATATATAAAATAAGGTGCCAAATCCAGGCGTGTAAAATTATGTAAAAATTGTTAAAATTATTCTTTAATGTACATTTTATCTCTCCAAAACTTAGTTGTATAAAGAAGTGTTGCCTCAACGTATACGTTATTGTTTAAATCTATCTTTTCTATCAAAATGATATGAAAAAAGTGCGCCAATTGGGATTAAAAATTATACACATTATAAAGTTTAATTCTTTTATTATACATACATATTATATATTTTAATATTAAAATTGTTATATTTAATAACGCATAATATGATTGTACATTTTACTAACAATAAGACATTTGTATACATTGTATACATGTATTTTTTAATATGCTTATAGATATACAGAGTGTCATAATATGTGATAATAATCGTATCACTTCTCATGTGCAGGTAGAGCAAGTGAAATCAAGGAGAAAAATTCTTTATCATTTTGCTTTATCATTTCAATTAATTAACAAAGATCGCCCAATTTGCGCGGGTATAAATGCAGTGAAAAGGGACAGCCCATTGATATGTAATTATTAGGACGTGAGAATCCAGCGTTATGTACTGCTTATATACATATATATATGTGTACGTAACCGTTGTCATTTGTAAAGCGTTCCACCCAAAACTTCGTCGCACATCTAGCAACCACATACTTTTGGACTGCTTTCTCACCGCGCACTTATACTCGCGCGAATTGGTCAATTTTTTAATAAATTTTTCAATAATTATTACGAAAATCGCAAAATTATAAAGGACTTCTTGATTTCACTTGCTTTACCTGCGCACGAGAGATGATACGATTATTATCGGACACCCTGTATATACAACTCATATAAACATAGAGCGCGTTTAGGAGACACAACCGTTGAGCATCGTCTTGTAAATACGACGTTGATTTATTGGTTCTAGAAATAAGAACCAATCACGTTTGATTGCTACTCAACGGTTGTGTCTCCTGTACGTACCCATAACTACAAGATATTTTCAGATAAAGAATTTCTCGAAGCATAAATCAAACTGAATTCTATTGTAAGCATAGAATAGTTGCTTACAAAAGCTATCTGTGTTAACGAACGAAGAGGTATGCATAATTTTTTTTATGACAATGTGAATACTTCGACACAATAAAAATTGTAGTGTTGTTTGAAACGAATACAACGATGTATGATTTAATGTAAATATTTTACATATTATACGAGTTTTTTATCAGTTAAAAATATCGCGGGCGACGTCTACCTTTTCATTTTCGACCCTGCGATATAGCCAACTTCTAACTCGAGTATTATGATCAAATGACAACATGACATACGTCAATCTCTAACGCATGAGTCAGAAGTTGACCATACCGCAGGACCGAAAATGAAAAGATAAACGTCGCCCGCGATATTTTAAGCCGATAAAACTCGTATAATATTTAAAATATTTAATTATACATTATTGTATTCATTTTAAATAGCGCTGCAACTTTTATTGTGTCGAAATAGTCACAATTGTCATAAAAAAAATATGCATACCTCTCCGTTCGTTAATGCAGATAGCTTTTGTAAGCAACTACTATGCTCACAATAGAATTCAGTTTGAATCATTTAATTCGATATATATTTGTTATGGTTTATCTCTTTTAGTTGAAAAGGTAAAAGGGGGTGGCCACTTTTGATGGGACACCCTGTATATGAGTTGTATTTACATACAAGTATATTAAAAAATATGTATATAAATGTTTACTAAAATACACAATTATATTATGCGTTATTATATAACAATCAATATTAAAAAACATGGTATAAAAGAATTAAATTTTATAGTGTATAATTTTTATTCTGAATAAAACAAATCCAAGCTATCGATTAAGCCTATTAATAACTCGATCGGCCTAACCATCATTGAGATCCGATAATCTAAGGTATTCGCAACTGAGCGATTTGCGTATAGAGACATGGTCTGCCTTGTCCTGCCATTGCTACGCGTGACTTTTTTGATTTGGCGCCAGACACTACCGTATCTTCCGATGATAAATATATTTATTGACAAAAACAAAACAATTTTAATAATAATTTAAAAAATTGCAAAATTAAGCAACAGAGTGTCAAAAATATAATGTTGTAATAACATACTATTATACTAACAAAGAAAATAATATTAATAGTAAATAAATGGAGAAAATTAATGTGATCAATTAGATTTAATATATTAAGATTCGAATTATATATTAATCTTTAAAAAAATATTAAGAAGTCAGATATGTTTATAACAAATGTTAGCTCTAAAAAACAATTATATTTGATATTTCTTGTTATTGAAGATAGAAAGATATTAAATAGAGAACATCTATATATATTTGGTGGTTGTATAAATTTGATAATACTTTTTTTATAATGCATATATTTGTAGGTGGTATCACAAGCGCAAGCTTCTTCTAGTCCATCAAAAATAATAACAGTGACACAACATCAGCAATCTCCACCTCAACAGCCTCAGACTCTTCGCATGGTCACTGCTCAACTCGCTGGAAAACCTATTGTATTAGCTAGCGGTAACAAGAACGTCGGCGTTGCGGTGAGCACCAGTGGTGGAAATGTAGTATTAGGAAAGCAATCAACCTCTCAGCCACAGCAACAGCAACAACAACAACAAACGCAACAACCGATTATCTTGCCAAGTCAGTTGCTTAATATCAAAACATTGCATGGACTCAAAGTAATCCCTACTCCAACCGGGCTGAAAGCCACGAGTGGTGCTGTATACGCACGAGTTATTGCTCCTACGACAATAGCCTCCACACAAGCTATGTCAAATCAGCAACAGAGTCTTCAAACGCAATCGCCGAGGAATACTTCGTACAACACACCTTGATAGGGTTGATGTTCATACTTAAACTAATTAGAGCTGTTTTTTTTACTGTTTGTATGTTACGTAATCACATATTTTAAGTTGAAAACGCTTTAAAGGATCCCATTATTATACATATTCAATAAATATAATATTGCGTGATTACACATTGCACTTTAGTTTGATAACTATACTATGTAATATCCATAAGATTGAACATAATAAAAAGGAATATATAATAAAAATATATACTAGTAAAGATTAGTGTTCATAAATTATTAATTAGTTAAATAAATCAATTTAATATCATATAAATCAATGTTAGTAAAACTGACTTTTGTAGTATTCACACACACATACACATATTAAGCGATCTTCGATTGTAATGTCAGAAGCAACAAAAATAATGCAAACAATTTGTCCAACTCTTTCACACACACTCACACACAGATAAATCATTTTTCCAGATACTTGTTCAACAATACAATAAATATATAAACAGATCTTGCTTTTTTTATAATTATCTGATATATGTTTGTAATCTGATTTTTAATAAATTAAATGATTCATTGTGTATGTATATGAAATATATGTATGTGTGTTCAGTTGGCATTTGTATGTATTCAATACAGATAACAATAATAATAACTTGTAGTATATCTTAAAAGGTAAAAAAAAATACGCCAAGTATATAAAAAAATCCCAACTTGTACGCAAAAAAAGTTTAATATTTATCCCCAAAAAATAACTTTTAAAAAAATTTTTCCTTGGAAAATAATTGTCATACAAAATAAAAAACTAAAAAATGATTTTCCTCTAAAAAAATAAAAACCTTTAAAAAATCAAAAATCAAAACTAAATATGAAATCAAGTTAACTAGCCAAGTACATAGAAGCAGTTCAGTTTGTAAGAGTTTGTAATTTAAAATAGTATTTGTTTGATAAAATCAGTCTTGCAATTATAGAAATATTATAGATTCTCTTGAGAAAATTAAAATGCATTTTATTTTTATAAAATTACGATCAAGTTAACTAGTCAAGTACATAGAAGCAGTTCAGTTTGTAAGAGTTTGTAATTTAAAATAGTATTTGTTTGATAAAATCAGTCTTGCATTTATAGAAATATTATAGATTCTCTCGAGAAAATTAAAATGCATTTTATTTTTATAAAATTACGATATTATGTAGCGGCGCCGCCCGGAACTACGCGCGGACTCGCGAGCGCGTGGGCCGCCAAGTTGCGGGTCGCACTATTGTATCGCGGATTGTGCTTAATGTGACGACCTACGGCAGCCACAATATCCATTCGATTATTCGTGTTTATTTGGATTGACAACAATATGGATTAGAATGTAATGATTTTAGATTGGAAATAATCCGCGAAAGCGATATTAAAACCGATAATAGTTCGTTCGGAATTAAAATCGATAACTTTTTAGTCCGGGCGCGGATTGAACCGATTAAAACCAATTAAAACGGATTATGTTTTAATCGGTTTTAATCGACCATTTTCGGCAGGGCATTAATGCTGTATTTACTTCAACTCCTCTAGATATTCTACTTAGATATTTTAAGATTGAGTAGTTTTATTGTAGAATTGGCATTCATTAATTTTATTTTTAGTATATAATGTTCAACAATAATATATTTAGTATATAATGTTCAACAATAATATGCTTACATTATATTATCTTACAATAATACAGTAATTTTATTTATGTAGAATTGGCATTCGTTAATTTTATTAAATCCTATATAGGCAATGAAATCTTGTATAACGTAGCTCAATGTAACTATACCTATAAATTCATTCACTTTTGTATTACTGTAACATCATATTTCAATGTAGACCACTCTTCAACTGTATGGTGTTACAGTAATACAAAAGTGAATGAATTTGTAGATATAGTTAAATTGAGCTACGTTATACAAGATTTTATTGCCTATATAGGATTCAATAAAATTAACGAATGCCAATTCTACATAAATAAAGCTACTGTATTATTGTAAGATAATATAATGTAAGCATATTATTGTTGAACATTATATACTAAATATATTATTGTTGAACATTATATACTAAAAATAAAATTAATGAATGCCAATTCTACAATAAATCTTTATTATTGTGAGATATTCTACATAAATAAAACTTTATTATTGTGATTTACTTATTATTATTAAACTTTATTATTATTAGATATTCTACATGAATAAAAAACTATATTATATTATTAAAAACTATACCTATAAATTCATTCACTTTTGTATTACTGTAACATCATACTTCAATGTAGACCATTCTTCAACTGTATGATGTTACAGTAATGCAAAAGTGAATGAATTTGTAGATATAGTTAAATTGAGCTACTTTACGCAATATTTTATTGCCTATATAAGATTCAATAAAATTAACAAATGCCAATTCTACATAAATAAAACTGTACTGTATTATTGTGAGGTAATATAACATAAAGTGCCATAGAGGATGCCAAAGAAGATAAAGTATTTTTAATTTTAAGTATTTTCTTTTAAATATTTTTTATTTTTTTTAAATTATCTTACAATAATAGAGTTTTATTTATATAGAATTTGCATTCGTTTTATTTTTAATATATATAAGGTTCAACAATAATATAGTTATATATACCAGGTATATAAATATGAAACCGGAATTTGCCCATACATGCCCCTGCCAAAAATGGTCGATTAAAACGGATTTAAAAAAATGTAATCCGGATCGATCGGGATTTCTGCAACAAAAATGCGGTATTAAAACCGATTGAAAATAGTCAAATCGAATTTAGTACGCTTCAGGCGAGGTTAATGTTGGATGAT